CTTTCTTCTCCGACTTCTTCTCCGCTTCCAGCTGTCGCTCTCTGGCTTCCAACCTCTTCCTTTGGTATACTTTGGCGCCAGCAAATGCCAGGCAGAGAATCAATGTTTTTGCTGCCAAGATGTACAGCAGCAGGGGCACGTGATCCAGAGCCTGGGAAGGACGAAGCGGTTCTAAACGTGCGACATCACACACTTACTGTGTGCGACCACGTACGAGGTCCCTGGCCCGACGTCGCTGACAATCCAGCCCAGCGCTGCCCTTCCTGCCAGGCCCGCCCGGGGCTGCAGACTCAGGACCCTGGTCTCACAGCCGGACCCTGCTCTGGAGGCGGCGGGGTGGGCCCGCTCTGCGCTGCCACCGACTGAGTGGCCGGGTGTCACCCGGCTGTTCTGAGTGTCTGCCTCTCCGCCTGCGCAGGGAGCTGGGCCAGCCCCTCCCTCTAGATTCCCCAGCTCCAGTCCCCACCATTTCCTCTTGGTTCCCACCACCCATAAGCACTGGCACAGAAGGTAAAATAAATACAAAAGTAAGGACACCCTGTACGCCAGTTCACAACGAAACTGCAAACACACCATTCACATGATGCTGCAAACACACTCATTCACACGAAGCTGCAAACACACCATTCACACGAAGCTGCAAACACATCATTCACACGAAGCTGCAAAACACACCATTCACACGAAGCTGCAAACACACCATTCACACGAAGCTGCAAACACATCATTCACACGAAGCTGCAAAACACACCATTCACACGAAGCTGCAAACACACCATTCACACGAAGCTGCAAACACACCATTCACATGATGCTGCAAACACACTCATTCACACGAAGCTGCAAACACACCATTCACACGAAGCTGCAAACACACCATTCACACGAAGCTGCAAACACACCATTCACACGAAGCTGCAAACACACCATTCACACGAAGCTGCAAACGCACTCATTCACACGAAGCTGCAAACACACCATTCACACGAAGCTGCAAACACACCATTCACACGAAGCTGCAAACACACCATTCACACGAAGCTGCAAACACACCATTCACACGAAGCTGCAAACACACCATTCACACGAAGCTGCAAACACACCATTCACACGAAGCAAACACACCCATTCACACGAAGCTGCAAACACAGACGCTCCCACTGCCCACTTCCTCTGAGCTAGGTCACTGGCTGCTTGCGGAGTCTGAGGAAGCTGTGACCTAATGGGGGAGGAATATACTGGAAATCAAGAGGAACCGAATATCTCAATTGTTCTCAGCGAACTAAAGAGCGAGAACACGAACTACAGTGACTGGACAGCAGCTGACCCCAATCCCGCCACAGGAGCGGGCAAGCACACCGGCCAGTCGCTCTGGCAGGAGAACCGAAGTCCTAAGACTTCACAAAATGAAACTTTTACTCCAACACAAGCAGCTTCGACGACTGGTTTCCAGTCCTCCCTCCCTCAGGCCCACAGCTAACCTCCCTCCCCTCCCGCTGCGATCCTGCAGGTCCCATTTTACAGACGAGGCTCGGCTGCACACTTCTAAACCAGCTATTAAACGGCACCTTATTTTACCTCCTGGGAGGAAAAAAACAGTTTGTTGCCATAAATACGCCTCTTGGTATGTTCCTGGGATTTCTAGGTAGCTGAGTCTCACTGATACTGGGAAAGCCGCTCTCTCCAGTTCTGGAAATCTCTGTGCGAGCCGTGTAGTCCTGCTGCATCCCAGCCCCAGTCCCAGCCACAGCCCCGCCACAGTACCAGCCACGGTCCCTGGAGCCGCCACGCAGCTGTGTGGCAGCAGCTACGGCATGCGGATCCGACGGCAGGCAGAGCCAGGAAACCCACTGAGACGGAACCACCACAAACAGACCCAGGGGAGCGGGTCCCTGCTTGCTCTCTCCTTAGAGGTTCCAGAGAGGAGGCGGCAGAAGGCAGCAGTTTCGGGAACGAGAAGGCAGAGCAGGGCAGCCAGGGTCAAGGACACCACAGAGGTCAGGGCCCGGCCTGCCCCTGGAGCGCTCAGCTTCAGCTGGTGAACCCCTTTCCTTTGATTTCTAACAAATCCCTCCATATGTGCAGACCTAGTGGGTGAGTGAGACAGCTGCGGTGAACAGGCCTGGTGAGCACAGGGGCGGCCCTGCCCCCCGAGTCCTGATCGCCTCGTCTGAGGCAGTGGACCCCTGGACAGGCCCCACGGCCTCCTGAAGCCCCCCAACCCCGCACCCCAGGAGCTGGGAAGGAGGGTCTGTACTCCCCCATCCTGCTTCCAGACCTTTCCACATCTTCTCGCAATAGAAACGCAGGGATGTTTCAAACAAGGAAATGCTTATAATTGAAAAAATACAAGGTCCTAAGTTTAAAATACACATATCACATTTACATACGTGAAAAAATACACCAACATTGTTCGTAGTAGCTCTCTGGGTGGGATGACGATGCATGATTTCTATCTGACTTCCTACTTTTCAAAGGATCTACAAGGACATATATTTTAGTGGCTGTCCTGTGACCCACCCCCAGCTAACCCCACCTGCTTCAGGATTTCACATGACACTCAACACACCCTTCTCCCACGGCCGCTCGCTAGCAGGCGCCTCTGTGCTGCCCTTGAACCTGTGCTCCCAGCACCGACCCGTGCCTCCCGGGGGTCAGGCGTGTTCACTCCCCAGCCAGGGTCAGCCGCACCTGCTGTCACGGGAGATGACTGATTCCAACACGACACGGACGAGTGTGACTCTGTACAGAGACGGTGTCCATGACAACCCAGGTGGATGCCTCCCATGCAGTTCCACGTTTCAGTTGGAAAAGAAAAACCCACTTGTTGGCAACAGCAATGTAAAGAACAGGGAAGAGCACGCAGATCTGGGGCGACTTCGTATGCAGACGCTCCCATGACCGCGATCCACCGTAAGGAAACCGGAATGTGAAACCGTGGGTGACTCTAAAGGCGTGGGCTTTGCAAGACAAGGGGCCGATCCGAGGCCGGTCGTGGGCCCCTCCAAGGGGGCCTGGCCCCCTCCACGCGCCTGGTGAGCCCGTGCACACCTGCATGTTCAACTTAAGGCCAAATATGAACTACGATTCCTGCTTGCGTTGACTTCTTCTCATTCCGAATTTCTACAATCAGGGGAAAGAAAACTCCCCGAGCCACCCATGTTTAAAAGTGCGCTCACCTCCCAGTTCATGCTGGACCAACGGTGACGTCACTCCTGGTCAACACAGAGCCGGACTAGCAGTCACTCCTGGTCGACGCAGACCCCGGCCAGCACACGGGGAGGAGCTGGGTGCCAGGCGTGCTGGTCTGGAGGGAAGAGAGAAAACAGGTCAGCGGGGGGCTGTCCAGGGCCGACCACCTTAGGAAGGTGTCTCCGATGGAGAGAGGGCACATGATGAGCAAAGAGCGAGCTCCGCAGAGAGAAACGTCGTGTCCCCAGCAAGCTGGCCCGGAGCCGGGTGGGGAGCCGCGACCTGGGTCAGAGCCGGGACAGGCGCGGCTTGTTGGGCAGAAAGATCTGGCTGACCTGCTGGGAACGGGAGCACAGCCGCAAGCAGAGGGGCCCTGCTGCTGCCGCGGGGACAGGTGCTCCCACTCCACTCACTCCGGACGTAAAAGCCCAGGTCCAGAGTCGGTTCCTCCACCCCCTCCTGCCCGGAACCAGAGCTGCTCTGAGGGTGAGAGGCTTTCTCGGGTCCCCTGAGTGTTAATTAAGCGAATCTAGGTTTTTAAAAACTATCCGGAGGGAAGGGAGTACATGACGCGGGAAACGCTGTCTGAGAAAGCCATTCCGGCCTAGAATTCCCGCCTCAAGTGCGGGGCCCCGGGAAGTGGGGCAGGAAGTGGCAGGCAGGGACACGGCGGAGCACAGGACGGCTGAGGCCTCGCTGGCACTAGTTCCAGACGGTGACACATACCCCCGGCGTCAGGCTTGAGCTCGGGATGCAGACACTACACACTCGGGCGACTTCCCTCTTGGGGCCTCGGTCCCATCTGCAAACGAAGAAAGGGGGTGTCGACTGGCTGGGCCCAGGGCCCCTCCTGCTCCTGGAACGTGGAGACGTACAGCTTCGCGCCACGGTGCCCAGCCAGGATGACCGCAGTGATGCGCCCACTCATTCAGCCTTCACACCAGCCCTCCCCTCCGAGGGGAGTTCACCGTCGCCACTCCAGAGCCCGGGACAGAGTTTGTGAAACACGTCCAGGGTCACAGGCAGGGGGACTGGGACTCTACCCTCCAGTCTGGCCCCACAGTCTTACCCTGATGGAGGCAGAGAGCTCTGCACTCAAAAACCGCACGGCTGCTTTTCTTTAAATATACTCACAACTAAAATGAAGAGAAACAGCGGAAAGCCTCACAGGCCTTCAGAATGGAGAAAAGACAAACTTCAGAGATGTTTCATAGAAAACTTTTTCACTTACAAAAGCCTCTAAATATAAAAAGTTCAGCCCTGACCGGTATGGCTCAGTTGGGTGTCGTACTAGGCACTGAAGGGGTTGCCGGTTCAATTCCTGGTCAGGGCACATGCCTGGATTTCTGGCTCAATCCCTGGGGGCAGGAAGGGGCGTGCAGGAGGCAGCCGATTGATGTTTTGCTCCCACATTGATGTTTCTCTCACTCCCTTCCTCTCTAAAAAATTCAAACCTCATCTATTCAAGGTCACAGTATCCTGAAAACCTGGGAGTTGGCACAAGATAGCCAAGTTTTCCCCATGACTTTTGCAAAGTCAGATAAGCTAACAACAGGAATTCACGCCATAATCTGTTTATGTGTGATTGAAGGTCAGCGCTGACCTTCCTGTGTAGATGGCCCGTGTGTCTTTAAGTAGCAGCAGATTCTGATCTGCACTGAAGTGCTGCTCGAGTTTCCACTGTGAGTAATCTCTAATAATCTCAGGGATTAGCCATGTTGTAAATGAAAATAAAATATTTAAGGGTTGTGTACATTTTACTTTCACAACTCCTTTGAGTTGTGTACAAATATAGTAGGTGAGTGTGGCTGTTCCCCACTACATACCTTGATCCCCAAGGTCAAGGACAACAAATAGGTCCAAAATATTTACAGGAGGAAGTAGATTAAAAAGAACACCCTGTTGTCTGGCCCTCTGGCCAACACGTACAGTGCGGCCTCCCACAACGGGCAGTTGGTTCTGCAACTTCAAGCGACATGACATAGAGTGGAAACCATCTGTCCCGTGGAGGCTAATGAAGACAAACAAGAGTTAAGTCCTACGACATCTCGTCGATGTTGTAATGAAACAACACTGAACAAAAGGACAGACGTGGTTGGAGGATCTGTGGTCCTAGGTGTGCTTACTAGTGGTGTGGCCGTGGACACGTCACCTGGCCCCTCTCAAGCCTCGGCTCCCTCAGCTGTAAATCCTCCTTCGAGACTGGATGGGAAACCCTGAGCACCATCCTCAGCCCACGGTACATAAATGTCAACCATGACGGTTATGATAAAGGCCTCTCCTTCCGCTAACGGACAGGCCAAGCTGAAGGCCATAAACAAGGGACATCCTGTGAAAAATGTAGTCACTGCAAGACAGTGGCCATGGTCTAGAGCAGGGGTGGGCAAACTTTTTGACTCGAGGGCCACAATGGGTTCTTAAACTGGACCGGAGGGCCGGAACTAAAGCATGGATGGAGTGTTTGTGTGAACTAATATAAATTCAAAGTAAACATCATTACATAAAAGGGTACGGTCTTTTTTTTTTTTTAGTTTTATTCATTTCAAACGGGCCGTAGTTTGCCCACGGCTGGTCTAGAGACCGCCCGAGCACCAGGAGAGCCGGCATCTGCGCTCTATTCCCGGTGGCACCCACGGCAGGGCACGTGACCTGGGGCAAGTCGTGAACCTCTCTGAGCCAAAGTGTCCTCATTTTAAAAATCAGAACCCAGCCCTGGCCGGTGTGGCTCAGTGGATAGAGCGTCGGCCTGCAGACTGAAGGGTCCCGGGTTTGATTCCAGTCAGGGGCACATGCCCAGGTGTGGACTCCATCCACAGTAGTGGGCGTGCAGGAGGCAGCCGATCAATGTTCTCTCACCATTGATGTTTCCATCTCTCTCTCTCTCTCCCTCTTGGATTCAATAAAAATATATTTTCTAAAAAAATCAGAATCCAAAGAACAATGCTGCAACTCTGGAATTCGAAAGCCACCATTCTCTCTGATATCACGGAACCAGACAGTAAAAACATACTGGCACCTGCCTCGATTTCACGCCTGGAGTGATTCAACTCAAGCTCTTTAAGAGAGAAACACAGAAAGTCAACCTGCAAATAGTGTTGGGTGTGGTGAGGGTGGGAGAGGAGAGGCAGATCAGTGTGGCTCCTCTCACCCTCTGCCTCCATCCACATTGTGGGGGTGGGGGGGTCCCCCATCTCCCTCAGTGACACGCTCCCACTCTGCAGGCCTTGCAGGACTTCAGCAAATGAAAACCGAGGAGGCTAAAAATATCCGGACTGTGTGCTCTGACTCCATACAAACACCGGGTACAATTAGAAACGGGAGCAGCTGTTGTCTGCAAACGCCAAGCTGGGGACAGCTCGGAGGCTCAAGTCAACCTAAGTAGCGCAGGCACTTTAAACTCCCCTGGAACTATTCCATCTTAGCTCAAAATTAAAAAATAGCCCGAACCGGTTCGGCTCAGTGGATAGAGCGTTGGCCCTGGGGTCCCGGGTTCCATTCCCGTCAAGATCCCCAGTGGGGGGCGTGCAGGAGGCAGCTGATGGATGATTCTCTCTCATCCGACCTCTCCCTCTCCCTTCCTCTAAAAAATCAATAAAAACATTTGAACAAATAATGGCTTAGAGAGAAATAGTTCTATTTCCTTTACTGCAAAAATATCATTTTTTTTCTTTTGCCGGATTTCTCGAAAAACAGAAAAGCTACTCGCCGACGGTGGTTAGGCCACTTGAAGCAACATGGACAGTATCGCCGGCAACCTACTTCCTCCTGGCACACCTGGCGGACTCCGGGGTGTCCAGGGGGTCTCCGCTCTGGTGTCTGACCTCCTGCCAGCCACCACTTAGCTGTGTCCTTAGTCCCAACGTCCCAAGCCGTTCTCCCCCCCAGTCTCCACCCTTCCCGCCCCAGCCCCTCACCCATCCCCTGAAGGGGTGCGGGGAGGAGGGGCATCACTTGGCCGACCTCGGGGCCCCGCTCCCGGGTCAGCCGGGGTTCCCTGGGCCAGAGGCCTGGGTCTCAGCGCCTCTGCAACCCGGCCAGGGTCCTCTCCGACCCCCAAACTTCGGGAGCAACACCTGCCCCCCTCCCACCCCAGCCCTTCCACTGAACAGGGCGTCCGGAACATGCACACGTTCCCAAGCCCCTCGGACACCAGCACCCTCTGGCCGGCACCAACCCCGGGCCCTCCCGCCCCCGGTGCCTGGATTCCGCGGCGCCGGGACAGCCGAGCCAGGGAGGCGGGCGGGTGAGGGCCGTGACCCTCGGGTCCCCACTCGGCGGGGAGCCGGCGCCGCGCGGCCGGGGGCCGACTGGCGGGGATCCAGGAAAAAGCCGGACACCCCCGCGCCCCAAAGAGCCCTCGGGCTTCCGGTCAGGACCCCGCAGACTCAGAGGTCATGACTTACAGCTCCAAGTCGCGGGGACCGCTGCGCCAAGTGGGCTTGCAAACCAGGACTCCCACAATGCGGCGCGGAAACTACACGTCCCGAAATGCACCGCTCCGCGCCTGCGCAGTGGGTCTGGGTCGCCTTTGTGGGCGCACCCCGGGCCGCCTTCGTGGGGGGTGGGGGCCGCCTGGGCGGGTTCCCTGGTGCTGCCCCCGGCCTATTCCGGTTCCGCCCTTCCCCGAGCCCGAGGAAGATGGAGGCCGGAGGGCGGGGCGCCGCGCGGCCCCTCCACCCTCAGCTGCGCCGCAATCCTTGGTGCTCGCGACGGAGGACCCCAGGCTCCCCAGCAGTTCCCAACTCAGCTTCCATCTTCGCCACCAAACGCGCGGTTTCCTTGGGGACGGCGGGCGTCCCGGGCTGGGTTCCCGATCCCTGCGTGCGGAGCTGGAGCACTGATCCCGACCCCGTGCGCACCCGGACCGAGCCGGGCTGGACGCAGGGGAGAGGAGCTGCCTGGGCTGGAGCGCGTGGAGAAGCGGGCAGAGCTGGATCGGAACCGGGCGCGGACCCAGCCCTCCATGACACTGTGCGTGCGGAAGCACGAGGGCTAGGCGCGCCCGGGAGAGGACGGCCCGGGGCCCGGGGCTCGCGCGCCAACCCAAGTTGTGCAGGAGAAAGTAACAGAATTGCTCTGCGCCGCCCGCGGTGGCGCAGTGGTTAGAGCATCGTCCCGGGCACCACGGAGAGGTCGCTGGTTCTATTCGAGGTCGGGGCACCTGCCCGGGCTGTGGGCCCATCCCCAGTAGGGGGCGTGCAGGAGGCAGCCGACCCATGCTTCTCATTGATGTTTCTATCCCTCCCTTCCTCTTTCTAAAATCAATCAATAAGTAAACATAAAAACATTTTTAAAATCTTAGGCATTTTTAAAAAATTGCTTTGTTCTAAGCACTTGGAGGCTCCTGTCTAAGGAAGTCTCATCACAAGCCCGGAAAGGGTTCCCAGAGGAGGCCGCGGACACCAGAAGATGCAGGCCATCTGTCCAGGTTTAGAGCAGCCCTGGCCTCAGCGTCTGGGCCTGGCCTCAGGGCAGCCTTGCTTCCTGCTCAAATCACACTTCACACTGGGGAGTAAGTGGGTGCAGGGCTCCCAGAGCTGGTAGACCAAGCAAAGGGCACTCCTGAAGCGGAGGGGGCGGGGGAGTTGTTTGAACTGGCATCTGCAGTTCCGGGTTGAGGTGGCAAGTCTGGGTTTGGTGGGACTGGGGCCGGAGTGGCAAACTGGGCAGAGGGTCTCCGCAGCTGCACACCCAGCGTTCCTGTAGACCCCGCGTTTCCCGTGTTTGTTCAGGTCTCCGTGTGACCAGAGGGCTCCCAGGAGCCTGGCCAGCGCCGGGTCCGTGGAGAGCACCGTGCCGCCTGCGGGAGACCTGGCGTCCCTGTAGGGTCCAGACCCGAGGCCCAGCTTCGCAGCCGGGTCGCTGATGTGGGCACGTTGGCATGAACGTCTGTGTGCAGCAGCTTTCTAGGAGGAAGCCACTCGCTACATCTGCTCTCGGAACAGGCGTGGCTTTCTCTGACACTGGAGTTAACGCTCCGCTCTGGGAGTGATGCCCGAGGCTCCCAGGGAGGCCTCAACCCAGCGACAGTGTCCAGGTTATCACCTCGCAAGAAAGTACGCAAGGGGGGGGCGGGGGACAGAGCAGAGCACAGCAGGTTCCTTAAAGTGGGAGTGCACACTCGAGAAGGAGGAGAGGCCCGCCCGCGTGGCTCAGTGGTTGAGCGTCGACCTACGAACCAGGAGGTCACAGTTCAATTCCCGGTCAGGGCACAGGCCCAGGTTGTGGGCTCCCATCCCCAGTGTGGGGCGTGCAGGAGGCGGCCGATCCATGATTCTCTCTCATCATGGATGTTTCCATCTCTCTCCCTCTCCCTTCCTCTCTGAAATCAATAAAAATATATTTTTTAAAAAATACAACAAAAACTGTCGTGTAGGTCAACGTAGCTGCTATCTCTGGCTGAGACCAGTTTTTATTTGTCTCAACTATTTATTGCCCCGGGAAATGGGGAGGGGAGCAGCGAGGGGCCGGTGTCAGCCACAGGTCACAGCCGCAGCGCTCTGACTCAGAAGGCGGGGATGGAGCCCCCGCCCTCTGTCCCCTGAGCTAACTCTCCTGCCTCTGGAGCAAAATCGCAGCTCCTTACAAGAATCGATACCTTGATTATATCTCCCCCTGAAGAGACAGACCCTGTCGCAGGTGGAATATACCCCACAAGCCAGCACACCGGGAAGGAGGGCTCCTGCTCTGAGTTTTGTCTCCTGCCCTGAGACTGAGGCCCTGCTTGCCTTGCTCTGCTTTGGGGATGGGTGGGGGTGGGGGTGGGGGAGGGGTGGGGTTGGGGGAGGGGAGGGGGAGCCAGGAGGCAGGGAGCTCCATGCAGCCGCCCCAGGCATCTGTCTCCCAGAGCTCCTACCCCAGCTCCTAGCTCCTGAGAGAGGGGACTGTGGCCTGCCTTAGGCCCGCCCCTGGCCCTGCTCTAGCTCCGCCCGCCCTGTGAGGATCTCTGCTGTGACCCTCAGTTGTCATCAGGATGTTTCCGGGTCTGACTGCCTCCCTGCTGGGCGGGTGCCTCCTGCTCAGGGGGTCTCGTCCCCTCTGTTCTGCAGAGGTTGGGCCCGTGACCCGAGTGGACAGAGGGCAAAGGCCGCTTCTGAAATGAATGAGCGAAGGCCCCTAATCTGCGGAGGGCAGACTCGGCATCTGCACGTGACACGGTCTGACACGTGTGTGGTGATGGGGTGCCCCCGGCCTCACGTTCTGTGATGTGAGGCGATTGCTGTCGAGCTTTGCGACAGACCCCAGCAGCTCAGACACTGTCTGTCCCCTGGTCTTTGCAAACATAAGTAAAGGCAGTCGCTGTAGGGAGAGGAAAGGGAAATTGTGTGAACAGAAAAGGCTGATAAAGCCATGTCGTGCCTTTATTGCTTTTTCCATACTAAGTAGAAGTTCAGCGAGTTCATTGTCTGCGGGACTGACTGTAAATGACCATTTAGAAATGTTTGCGCAGGAAGCTCTTCACGATTCTCCTTCCCTGCGGTGGGCTGTCGTCCGACTCCGAGCAACTTCAATGCCAGGAGAAGGATGCACCCACTGTAACCCCACGGCCCTGCCGCCTTCACCGGGACTCGCGCTCCGAGTGCATCAATGGTGCTCCTGTCAGCCCAGTGACGGGATGGATTCTGAACCTCGGCATCTGGGTCACACATCCTATTTATCAGTTAATCAGCCACATACAAAATCACGTGACAGAAGGAAAACTCAGCGCTTTGCAAATCTCTCCCTTCCTCACACAGCACACCACTCCCAGGAGCAAGCGCCAGGCACCGACGCCACACGCCGCCTGCCTCGGGGACGCAACACGCGGTCTCTGCAGCGTCTCCGCAGATGGCAAGCGGCGAGGTGTCTTCTGAGCAGGGAGTTTGGGGCTCCAGGGCGGGCGTCTGAGGTCGGCTCCCTTTGTCGCAGGAGATGTTTTTTATTTGTTTTTTGCTAATCCTCACCCGAGGATATTTTCCCATTGACTTTTAGAGAGAGTGGAAGGGAGATGGAGAGACAGAGAGAAACATCCATGTGAGAGAGACACATCGATTGGTTGCCTCCTGTGCGCGCCCAACCAGGGCCTCGGCCGGGGAGGAGCCTGCGACCCAGGGACGTGCCTGGACCGGAATCGAACCCGGGACCCTTGGGTCCGCAGGCCGAGGCTCTCTCCGCCGAGCCACGCCGGCCGGGCTCACGGGGACGTTTTGAAGCCCGCCGCGCCGAGGTTCTGGTGGACGGTGGCCCTGGCCTCCTCCAGGCTCAGGATCTGGTTCTTGTACTTCTGCTTCCAGTCGTCCACGATGTACTGGTGGTAGGGGTCGTTGGAGTGCTCCTGCCGCTTGGACTTCACCGTGCTCACCAGGATGGCCACCACGATGAAGGAGAACATGCCGATCATCACCATGAGGTACAGGATGACGTAGTAGAAGTTCTCGGCGTCCACCCGGGCCTGCAGGGCCTCCTGCTGGGCGGTCGTGTTCCGGCGCCACGCGTCCATGTACCCGACGAGGACCCTCCTGAAGGCGTCCTCCAGGGTCTGCGTCAGGTTGGCCAGGGCGGCATGCTGCTCCTGCGCGAGGCCAATGGGGAGACGGACAGACAGTGAAAAGGGGTCCTTTCCTCCCCGCGGCTGCGGAAGGGATGGACGGAGGGGTGTCCGTGGGGGGGGGGGCGGGGGGGCGGGGGCAGCGATATGATTCCTCCCTAACCTGCTGGTGATGGACCGAGCGCACACTCAGTTCTTTAAGCTTTTCGTGTGCACCTGTTGCGTGCATGATATCTGCCAAAAGTGCAATGGGGGACATAACACTGTACATAGTATGACCCCAACTTATATATGTACACAGCCCTGGCTGGCATGGCTCAGTTGGTTGGAGCGTCGTCCCATACACCAGAAGGTGGCAGGTTCGATTCCCGGTCAGGGCACACACCCAGGTTTTGGGTTCCATCCCCAGTCGGACTGTGTGCAGGAGGCAACTGATCAGTGTTTCTCTTTCTCTCTCCCCTGCCCTCCCTCTCTCTGAGATCAACAAAAACAAACAAACAAACAAATAAAAAATATATATGTAATTGAATGTATGCATGCATGTGAAAATGGAAAAAAGACTGGAAATAAATAGTTTGAAATGTTAATAGTGGGTGGTATACTTAAAACTCTTTTTCTTCTTTACACTTTTCTCATGTTTCCAATGTTCACCAATATTCTTGCATTACTCTGCTTTAAGATGGACTGTTAACCTCACAGGAGTCAGCACAATGCCTTGTTGTAACAGGCTTCCCACGAGCCTCGGCTGCTACCGCGATGGCCGGTGTCCCCGTGCTTTGGAGGATTGTGGGAGGGAGGCGGGAAGGGACACTGACAGGGTCTGGCGTGTGTGTCCGGCCCTCGGTCCAGGCAGTGCTCTCCCCAGTGCAGCAAAGAGGTGGCTAGTTCATCCGTATCTGAAAGGCGTGTTTCAGGTGAGGATGCAGAGAAACAACCTGAGACGCCATCCTATTCTCAACCCAGCTCTCTCTCCGCCTCACTGCCCGCCCCCCTCCGCCCCCCCCGCCCCCCCGCCCCCCCCGCCCCCAGCCCCTAGCCCCCCATGACGCCAGATATTTTTCCATTGATTTTTAGGGAGAGTGGAAGACAGAGAAACATCAAGGTGAGAGAAGCACATCAGCTGGCTCCTCCCGCACACGCCCGACCAGGGCCCGGGCCAGGGAGGAGCCTGTGAGGAGCAGGGACCTGCAGGTCCTCTCGGGCCATAAAACCCCTAAGGACCCAGCGGGGGTCTGCCTAGCGCCCCCTGAGGGTGTGGTGAGTGAGTGCTCCCCTCCCGGGTCCTGTGCAAGCACCCAGAAACCACGGCCACACCCACCGACCCCCAATCTACAGTCCTCTTTTCCCAACGTCGGGGGAGGGAAGGAGGGAGAGGGCAGGAGGAGGGCTTGCAGATCCCTTGAAAAAGAAAACCAGTTCATGTTGTTTTTCTCCCGGAAAGCGTACATATGTACATACGAAGCTCTCCCTCCCGTTTCCGGGCCCCCTGGGCCCCCTAAAGCCCATCCTAGGATCTGCAACAAAACACCTCAGTGCGGACGCACCAGGGTTTCAAGGTGCGGGCGTGGCAGCGCACCCACCGCCGGCGGACCCTGCTCATCGGCCAGCTCTCCTGCAGGGACACGCTGGGCCGCCCGGAGGTGCTTTCTGATGAGACCCGACCGCAGGGAAAGGCCCCGGGGTAAGTGCCCGAGCGGCCTGGCCAGGCTGGAAATGTCCAGTCCCAGGTGGACCCCGTGGGAGCACTGAGCGCGCGGGTGTCTGCTCCGCGAGCCCAGGAAAGGGCCCAGGCACCGCGTGTGAAGGCTGCTTCCCGATGGACACGCGCAAACATGCAAGGAGGGTGCCAGGTCTGACACCCACTCACTCCGTGACCGAGGCGCTGGCCGTATGTGGAATGCACACCCCCCCTCGAAGGAGACTGCCTAGCAGGTGTGGACTTAAGCCAGTGGTTCTCAACCTTCCTACCGCTGCGACCCTTTAATACAGTTCCTCATGCTGTGGTGACCCCCAATTTCATTGTGACAAATTGAACATAATTAAAGCACAGTGATTAATCACTAAAACAATATTTAATTATATATGTGTTTTCCGATGGTCTTAGGCGACCCCTGTGAAAGGGTTGTTTGACCCCCAAAGGGGTCTCGACCCACAGGTTGAGAACCGCTGACTTAAGCCATCGTTTACGTTCTCTTAAACCCTGCAAAACTGCCACTGACGCAGGTTAAAATGGCCGAAACTGGCAATTTCATAGGGTGCAGCCAGGTATAGGTGGGCCTATGTGTTTCAGATACTTTTACTAAGGATTTCTGCTCCAAAACAACAACCACAGAAACACCACGATGGTCCAGCCAGGGCGGCTCAGCGGCTGAGTGTTGACCCGTGAACCAGGAGGTCACAGTTAGATTCCTGGTCAGGGCCAAGGCCTGGGTTGGGGGCTCGATCCCTAGGAGAGGGCGTGCAGGAGGCAGCCGGTCCATGCTTCTCTCTCATCATGGATGTTCCCTCTCCCTTCCTCTCTGACATCGATAAAAACATACTGGAAACCCACCACGACGGGCCTTGGAGATGACAGAGACCGACCTGGCCCTGCGGCAGGTGGAAGAGCCGCAGCCTCAGAGCTTCCGTCTCCTGTCCGAGGCCACCGGGCTCGCATGCCGGCTGCCAGGACAAGACACCGTCAGCTCCCAGCACCCGCCCTGTCCCGGCGGAGCCCACACAGGCCGGCAGCTCCCCCCCGACCAGCGTCGGCGGCTGCTCAGCTGAGCTGGGCAGAAGGGAGACCAGGATGGCGGCTGGAGCCCGTGGACACCAACAAGTTGTTCCCCATCTCAGGACACACAGCGGCCTCCTGTGTCCTGCGGTGCCTGCCCGGGTGTGTGTGACTCCACACGGGCTGTTGACACCATGAGGAAGTGACCCCCACTGACCCCCAAGTCTACAGTCCTCTTTTCCTAAAAGGTGGGGGGCCGTTGGCATCACCTGGGCCTACAGAAGGCAGCAGTGTCTTTCATGTGTGTATAAAGGACAGAAAAAGGTATGGTTCCATTTCCATGAAACTCCCATAAGACACTTACAAAATGGCCCAAGCCGGTGTGGCTCAGTGGATAGAGCATCGGCCTGCAGACCAAAGGGTCCCAAGTTCGATTCCGGTCAAGGGCACGTACCTCGGTTGCGGGCACATCCCTGGCCCGGGCCCTGGTCGGGGGGCGTGCAGGAGGCAACCAGTCAACGTGTTTCTCTCACACCGATGTTTCTCTCTGTCTTTCCCCCTCCCACTCTCTCTAAAAATCAGTGGTAAAGTATCCTCGGGTGAGGATTTAAAAAGAAAAAGAAAAACTTACAAAATGAAATTACTGAGTACACAAGGAAAACACTGCCCACAAAAGGAGAAAGAGAGAGAGGAATTCTTAACAATCAATCCTTTGAGAATTTTCTGGCAAAGGGAAAGAGCTCTGTTACTTAATTCCTCAAATAAAATTACGAGAAAGCATTTGTGATGGAAAGGTGCTTACCGATGCCGTGCGGGCGACCCTTGCTACGCAGCCGGGCGCCGGCCGTCCTGCTGTGGCTGCCGAGCCCTCCGGCTTGTGCGGAACCCTCAGCCGCCCTTGCCAAGTGCAGTGGCAACACCAGGCTCTTATGAACCCTAATGTTTAATCTAATCTTGTGCGGAAAGTTAAACACGGCTGCTGGGAACTCACCTTGGTGCCGGTGGGTGTGCCGCGTGGAGTGTTGGCATTGCCCAGAAAGTGCCAGGTTCCCTCTCGGGCCCGTGACCCAGCTCCGCCAGGACAATGCCTGGCACAGGGAGCTCCCAGGATGGTGGCCCCACGGGCACTTCCCGAGGCAGCCGGGCAGAGCGTGAGCACCCCAAAGCACTGAGACGGACGTGCTGTCCTGGGTCGGGGGTGGGGGTCGACGAGGAGGCCAGAAGATTGGAGGCAAGCGCCCCTGCTCTCTCCACCTTCCCGTAAGCCAGATGCTGCTGAAAATTCCCCTCCCTGGTCATTTTCAAAGGCTTTGTAACAACAGGGCATCTTATGGAATGGGAACTGGCCACAGGGAGGCGCTGCACGGAGGAGAGGGGACAAGTCCAGCAAAGCACACGAAGACGCCAACGAGCTGAGCAAACTATTTACTCAGAGGTCCTTCTCTATGGAGTGGAGTCCGTGCGCTGGCAGCGTGAGGCTAACCAGAGCCACCCCGTGCCGGGGCTGACCGCATGCGTCTCCAGCCTCTATTGTATTTGTGTCAGGCAGTCCTTGCCAGGCACAGAGGGGTCAGGAGGTCTGGGTCACGTGGAGGAAGAGCCAGGATTTGGATCTGATCCCGAAGGCAGCTGCAGGAGGTACACGCCAGCAAAATCACCCGGGAGTCCCAGGGGGCCGCTGCTCCGCGATGGCGCTGCGTAAAGGGAACTTGGCCTAACAGCTGGACTTCCTCACGAAACGGTGCTTTGAACACTGTGGTCTGAAGTCCACTTGGGGGGAGAGGGGCGCGGGCAAGAGGAAGGTGGCTAGGATGTAACTGTCCACACATTGTAGTAGCTAATGCACCGGGTGCCACGCACACAAATGCCAGGGTCACGGGCACCCTGCACCAGCTCCTCCTGGCACCGCTGTCCTGCTCGATCGCCTTCACCCAACAAGATAAGGCAACCCAGCCAGAAAGGAAGGGTTTGATGTCTAATTGGCCGAAAGGGTCAAAAGGCCAGGAAATCCGCTGGGGAGACGGCGCCACCTGCTGGTGGGAGCGGGAACAGAGCCCAATCTCCTCCCAAAGCAGCCGGGCTGTTGAACTTCACGTCTAGAATCTCCCCCTGCGAAGGCAAGGAGACCCCAGCGGTGTGCAGGTGCGCACTGGGGAAGTAGAGGCAGAACCGGTGGCTGCGAGCGAGCGTGGCTTTGGAGGCTGACAGACCGGGCGGCCCAGTTACTCAGCGACCCTGGTCCGTGGACCCGTCGTCTGTGAGATGGAGGGAATCCGCGTGCCCGCCTCATCGTAAGAATGAAATGAGACGATGGCTATAACGCAGAGCGCAGGCCTGCACGCAGCAGAGTGAGCGCCCCTACGCATCCGCTGCTGCTTTCATTTTACAGGGAAATCAGCGAGAAGACAGCGCAGTGAGAGGCCGGCGGGACCAGACCTCGCCAAGGAGAAGGTTCCAGAGCCTGGGCAAGAGGAGCTCCTTAATGGCTTATTTTGACTTTTTACATTTTTTTAAAAAAATATATTTTTATTTATTTCAGAGGAAGGGAGAGGGAGAGAGAGAGGAACATCAATGATACCAGGATGCCAGGATGCCAGCATGTCAGGGTGCCAGGACGCCAGGGCCAACGGTCCCTTTGAGGATCCGATGGCAGCCCCCTCGCAGAGCTCCTCCGCCCACACAGGGACACGTCGGTTGCCCAGGGAGCCGCGCCTGTGTGTGGACTTGAAATTGGATGTTAATCAGCCGGGTGTCCAGCGCCGACAAAGCCCCGCGTTCCTCCCCAAGAGAAGGCCGTCCTCAGGCTGCGGGGCTGCTGTTCTGAGGGCCCCGCTGAGGGTCCAGCCGCAGGCCCGACCCTCGGAGCGCTCAGCTGCTGGGCCAGGTGGTGGGGCAGAGGGTGCGGCATCGTCTGCGGGGATCGCCACCTCGGTCACCGCCTCTCGGCCTCCAGCCGGTCCTTCTAGGAGACAGCCTGCGGTCTCCTGACCCGGTCCCCGCTGGTGACCCTGCACCCCTGCCCCCCGCCCTCCGCCCCCCGCCCTCCGCCACCGCCCCGCCTCCAACGCCGTCACATCACAGTTCAGGGGGCCCGCTGCAGAGCTCGCACGTGACGATGATGGAAGTGGCCTTTGATGACCACGGAGTGAGCTGCAGTTACAGGCCTGCGCCAGGCTTTCTTTTTCATGGAGTTAAAATAACTTTTTGTTTCCATTCGTACTCAGCTGTCTTCGAACCTCGTCCCATGCTCCTCAATGGCTCAGCGTCATCATTCATAGGCACATGGGACTTGCAACCACAACAAGGTACACTACACACCTGCTAGAATCGCTCAATCTTTACAAGACTGACACCAGGCAATGGCGAGGCTGGGGGTACCCGGAAGCTCCCCACACCGCTGTGGGGGTAACACGGTGCAGCCACTGGCTAACAGCTTCTTGGAAAGGTACTACAGGGCCCCACTATCCCACTGTGAGGTGTCTGCCCAAGATAACTGAAAAAAGTACGTTCACACAAAGACGTACGCATAAATGTGCGTAGCAGCGTTATTTGCAAGAGCTAAAAGCTAGGAGTAACCTGAATATCATTCAACAGGTAAAGGGGTAAGCAAACTGTGGTACAGCGGTCCAACGGACTATTCCTCGGCCACAGAAAGGAACAAACTAAGGATACATGGAACAATGCGGATGGCTCTCACCCATATCCATATGCCCTGGCTGGTGTGGCTCAGTGGGTTGGAGCGTTGGCCTGTGCACTGGAGGGTCGCAGGTTTGATTCCCAGTCAGGGCACATACCTAGGTTGCAGGTTCGATCCCTGGTTGCAGGCATGCACGGGGGGCAACTGAGTGATGTGTCTCTCTCATCTCTCTCTCTCTCTCTCTCTCTCGCTCCCTCCCTCTCTAAAATTAATTTTAAGAAGTCAGACGCAAAAGAGATTATACTCTATAATTCCATTTCTAGAATTTCTAGAAATTCCAGGAAGGACGAAAGTAATCAAAATCTATAACGATGGAAAGTAGATCAGCTGTTTCCTGTGGGGGAGGGGGGTTGAGAGAGAACTTTTTGGAGTAACTGACACTTTTTCTACCTTAATTGTGGTGGTGGTTACCGGGGTGTATACATTTGTCAAAACTCATTGAACTGTGCACTTAAAATGGGTACATGTGGTTTCAGGTAAACTATTCCACAATAGAGTTGACCTCTTAAAAGTCCACTGTACACAGGTGACTCCAGCCCATTCCTCTCCCTTCCTTTTCAGACTCAAGTGTCCACATGCTCACCCGCCATTTCCACTGGGTACACAAATACAATGGAAACCACTCAGCCTTTAAAAAGAAGGAAATTCTGACATGTGACCACACGGATCGGCCTTGAGGACTTTGCTGAGTGAAACAAGCCGGTCACAGAAAGACAAATACTGCGTGATCTGGTTATGTGCGCTGCCTAAAACAGTCCAATTCAGAGAATCAGAGAGGGAATGGTGGTTGCTGGGAGCTGGGGGAGGAGAAATGAGTTTCCAATCAACGGGCATAAACAGTTCAGTCCCTCAAGAGGAATCAGCCCTAGGGACCCACCTGCAACATTGTATCCATCATCAGCAACATTGTGTCCATCATCAGCAACATTGTATCCATCATCAGCAACATTGTATCCATCATCAGCAACATTGTAACCATGATCAGTGCTGCTGTGCTGTGCAGACAAAGGATTTGCTTCAGGTGAGTGACCTGGAGGACAGAGCACAGCTGAGTGTCCAGAAAACGAGTGGCCAGGAACCTGCTGTCCCCTCCGAAGAACTGATGACCATTTTCGCATTGATGGTCCTCGAGCCCCATGAGGCAGGGTGTTTACAAGAGGTTCCATCTGCCAGGGCCAGAGAAAGACCGTCTAGACCAGAGGGTGCGGTGTTCAAAACGACCACAGTGTGTCCCCACAGCGCCGTCAGGACCTGGCTCCCCAAGCCACGCAGAGCAGCGTCTGCTCTGGGTGCAGGATGACAAGGGCCTCCTCACCGCAGCTCCACGGCCACCAGCCCGGAGCAAGCCCTCAGGCCT